TTTTAAGCAAACCTAATAAGGGGTAAATGACTAATTTACGCATTTCGTTTTAATAAGTGGTTGGATTAAACCCCGGTGTTGACTAGGCACGTTCGGTTGTTGACCTACGTGGCAGCTGATACGAGCGCGGGCGCGGGGCGCGGGCGCGGGGCACAGCGCGTCGGTGCGTGTGCATGCGTTGCTGTACATTTCTCGTTGTAAAGACAAAAGCCTTATTATGGAAGAAATACTAAAAAAAAAAATTATGTTCCTCAGGAAAAAAGTTTCTAAATAACGTTTAGAAAATATTAATGTAAAATTCTTGAAAAAAAAATTGTGACTTTTACCTCCAATATCTCCCTAACTATAAATTTCCCAGGTATGGTCCAGAAGAAAAAAATTATCGTCATGATGTGGAAAATACGTGGCCTTCGGCTTCGTTAAAGGTTTTTTTACACCCTGTATTATAGTGGCAAAAAACGATGTTCGAGAATAATATGTTTTTGAAGTTCTTATGGAATGTTGTTTTTGAAGTCACAGTGAATTCGAACGTGAAGCTGCACCGATTTTAATGAGCTCTGTTTTTTGAATTCGTCTCCGGCCCGAATAGCAGTACAACTAGTGTTTTATACTCTTTTTGTTAAAAAATGGGTACAATCAATACATAACTATTAACAGTTTATCTTAACCTCTTTAAAAGGACTTGTTATCGAGACTGAACCATCTGATTCAATAAAAATTCAATATTGTGACTAAAATTAAAATAAAATGGATGGAATTACTCAAATCTAATGTAATAAATGCATTCATTCTCCTTTACTAAGGTAGTTGGACTAAGACACGCGCAGATTTCATATAAAGTTTCAATTACTTTCTTTCTTTTTAATTATACCGAATTTATTAGTAAAGCTGTTTAAGTACTTGGGCCAGCTAAAATATAATATTAACTAAAATTTTGTAGTTAAACTATGATTTTAGACATGAATAGGTATCAAGTGATAACATTTAATAACTAAAGATATTTACCTTATCAAACGCTATGTTTCGCAATAGAAGTAGTCTAATTTTGGTCTTTTTTGTTAAAGTACCGAATGAACTGGATTAGGATGACGCATGACGGCTGAAACATGAATGATAAGTATAATATTGAACATGATTGAAGGTAAAATCTATAATATAAAATATGATTACAGAAACGGAAATTTGGTTAATAATAAAGTCAGATTTAATTGAAATTTGGTACTAATTTTCAATACAATTAATGAAATTTGTACATAAATCTAAAAAAAATGCTAGAAATAATAAAAGTCTAGCAGTTAATTGTTTCAAATAAAAATATAATGCAATAAGTACATGATATTTCATCATTTTAAATTATATTACCTATGCATTTTCCTCTTCAGTTTACACTGTCTTGAAATGAGAACATCGATATGAATAATGCCTTGAAGAGCGACTCTATCGGCAAAGGAACTGTTTTAAACATTAATAAAATACACTTTCAAGCCCCGCAGAAATATGTAGTAAATGGTAAACTCTGCATGAATTACAAACTAAGGTATAAGAAAGGCAAACTATAAGGCATTTATTGTATTGTTTGGTATATTTGTAGAATAATAATACGTGCCGGGGTGTAATGATATGCTCGGGCGAATTTTACCCTTTTTTAATGTCTCAATCTTCAACATTGCAGTAGGCTAGTTGACTCATGTCAAATTGCACTATACAAAAATGTTTATTTCTTATAATATTTGGTATGAGGAACCTAAATAGGTACATCGATCACACTTCATAAATTTAGTTCGTGGTCTTCCGTTTTCTGACAGGTTCGGGTTCGAAGTTAACTTCCTTCCCCGGGCTGCTTCTCGCGGGGGTGGGCCCCCGCGGCACGGCCGTAGCTAGGGTGGGGCATTGTGGGGCAATGCCCTACCTTGAAATCACAATGCCCTACCTTAAAAATACCAAAAACTAAGATAATTTTTTATAATTAAATTGTTTGTATATGGGTTAAGATAAAAAAAATAGTAGCAATAGATACATCATTGACCTAGAGGTCAATAATATACATGGCGATTGATTTAGGAGGCCCGTGCTCCGAGGGCAGATCAATTATGATATTTTTTTTACTTCCGCCCTACTTGTAACCAATGCTGCCCTACCTCAAATTCGACTCTAGCTACAGCCATGCCCCGCGGTGTTGGGCGCCGCTGGTCAGCGGCCGTCTAGTAACGATTGGTCGTCTGCTCCTCGTCCTCTTCTACCTGTTCTCGCCAGGAGTCTTGTGGCGCGGCCCTCAGCGCGGTCTGCCATGCCAGGTGAGACCCCTTGTTGGGAGGCCCAGCTAGCGCCAGCGAGCAGGCCGCGACTTACGCAAGTAGGGTGAGGGGAAATTGTTTGGGTTTATTGGGTTGGGGAGGATAGTGGATATATGGGTGGGTTGGAGGGGGGCGGCGGCGAGAACAGGCTACTTGGTGTGGGGCGAGGAGCCCTTCTGCTGCGGCCGGAAACTGTGGAAAGAGCAGAATTAGCATTTTGAGGTGGAATTGGAAGTGGAAGTGGAAGTGGAAATGGTAGAGGTACTATGCCTTGGAGGTGGGCATATGGACCATGGTCGGCCCGGGAAAACATAGCCCGTGCAAGGCGGCTGACAAATTCCTCTATAGATTCGATTCTTAGATCGCGGGCGATCACGTCGTTTCTGACGTAGCGCCCCGCCCTGGTGATGATTCTGATCGCCACGTTTTGCTGCTTCTGTAGGCGCTCTTTCTGGGTCTGAGAACAAGGAGAGTACCATGCCGGGGCCGCGTAGATAAGTACCGGCCGGATGTACGTCTTGTAAATGCTCACCTTTGTTCTCAGGGGCAGATTGGAAGCTAGGATGGGGCGGAGCGCTGCTCTGGCGCCTCGGCTTTTGATAATGCAGTCTTCTGCGTGGGCGGTCATCCTCAAATTTTTGTCGATCGTGACCCCCAGGTACTTGGTGGAATTAGCCAAGGCGATTGGGTGGCCGTTCAGTTTGAGCTTGAGCAGGGTGCGCTTTTGGGTTGTGCAGATGGCGGCGGCGGTTTTCCCCACATTCACCGAAACTCTCCATTGCACCAACCTCATAAATTTAGACGATGGCTGTCGCAATTTAATTTGAAAAATGGTTTTTTAGTCTATGCTTTTTAAACACTCAAAACGCATGATTGTGACGTCAACAAGTTAGTAAATGTGTTAGTAAACAACTAAACGTCATTGTCGTGTTACTGTGGTGTCTTTCGTTGGACTAAAATATATCTTAATAAACTTACATCTTGTAAAAAAATCCGTTTAATGGTTTTGTTGATTAAGTTTATGCTGGTCGCCGGATTTCTGAAAGCAGAAATGACAAAACTCTTTGACTTAGTGGTTACATTCAAAATCTTAAATTGTATTTTGAAACTTTAAATATTATTCAATGAGAACTCACATTAAAGTGATCTTTGCTAAAGGAAATGACTTTCAAACAGTAAAATTACAGGATTTAGCAAGTTTTAAATATGACGGTGTTCATGTGTAGGTATATGTATTTCTCTAGACAATTTAAACCACAACTTTTCTGGAGGCTTTAACGATGTGTTTTTACATTCTCGTATAATAAAATCATGATAATTATATTTATCACTTAATCTATTAGAAATCATGGTTTTATAATATAAATTTAGATTCAGGTTATTTCCTACGTGCTTCCGAATGTTTGTTTACGATTTTGTTGACGTCATAGCATAGATAATCTATAGATTAAAATGGCCGACAGCGTTTTTGTATGTCCATGAAAAATCCATTTTAAAATTAAAGTTTTGTTGCTTTCTAGGTCAAAAAAAAATACATTTTTTCGGTGTAATAGAACAATTATTAACAATTTAAAACATGTGTCCAAAAGTGTCAAGTAGCCTATTAGGAATGTTTTTTGTAGGTACTTTTTTTAAAGTCACACATTCAAAAATTGGTGTCAATTCCGGCAAGATTCTCTCTACTTAAACTTAAATTTGACAGCAGTGCATCCTTGGCATTCTCTATAGGGAAATTTAGTTTTAAGTTTAGAGAATCATGCCAGAATTAACACCAGTGTTGGCACAAAACATTGTAATTATTACAACATACGTTGACAACCTATGTACCTACCTGATCACAGAGAGAAACCAAAATGGCGACCGGCCGCAAATAGTCGTTACAATGACGTCATTTTATAATGTTGCCGTTATTAGCTCAGGCAAATATAATGTTGTCTTTTTTGCGTGGAGTATTTTAAGTTAATTAAAATGACATGTGGTTGCTTTCCAATTACAGAGCATAATGCGACTCAGTGCCGCACAATGCCGAATTATGCTGATGCTTAATTGGAACGTGAATTAGTTTTCAAATGCACCAGTAGAGTGCACTAAGTTCAGTGTTGAAAAAAAAAGTCAATGTTTGTACCTTCATCCATATTTATATTTAATTTTTAACACAGTTTGAATTAATTTTGATTATTTAAAAAAAAAACTATGATGAAACAAAAGTTTTAATAATTTTTCAACAATAAATATTATTACTAATGATAACATAATAAATAAAACATTTCGATCAATGCCAACTTAAAGAAAAAACACTTATTAATTTTCTATCTCTAAGTTGGTACCATTGCACGCATCACACGAAAGCATCACTTTTGAGAGTTGCTGTAGTTGGAACACTCAACGTTAAGCATTATGCCGCATAATGCGCTATAATGCTATAATTGGAAAGCTACCACAATGTCGATATCAATCATATTTTTTTATAAGCTTTTTCATAAAGATAGAATACAATGCCGTCTCCATAGGTTTTAGTACTCAGAGGCTAAAGGCCATATTGCTTTTCAAAATGTCATAGCCAACGTCATTATGTTGTCAATTGTCATCAATAATCTCATCATTCTATATCAATATTGTGTTTTCGTTTCGTAGTTTTTGTCATTGGATTGGTCGCGGAAAGGGCAAGCAAACGAAACTGTTTATCATTTTTATTCGTATTTGCGCAACTAGTGTGGAATACCTCCCTAGATCTATTGATCAAAGTGCACTTAGTCACCAACATAACTATGTCGGACTTTGGAAAATTTGGCCCATTAGTTGGGTCCATCGATGAAGGCACTTCAAGTGCAAGGTTTATTATTTTTAAAATTAATTCTACAGAGGTGGTTGCCTACCATCAGAAAGAATTGGAACAGAAGTTCCCGCAAGAGGGATGGGTGGAACAGGACCCTTTTGCCATTTTAGAAGTAGTTACAACCTGTATTCAAAAAGCTGTCGAGCAACTAATCAGCCTTGGTGGTCAAGCCAAGGTAGGTACCCGAATTTTACTTTTTGTGATGAAGACATGGGTAATTAAACAGCTTAGATTAAAACAAAAAGGGAAGATACGGCACTTGTGGCTCAAAAGTGATCCGCTTAAATTGTGGTGTGTGACCACTATTAGCTTCAGTCACAATTGGGCATTCATAGACACTGCATGTGCACTCAATATAACAATATTGCGTATATTCTGTATTATAAAGATGAAACATTGCCTTTGATGCTTTTATAAAGAACACTAATAGTATAAGATCAAATAACAAATGGCTCGAGAACACTTTTCATTGGTATAACTGTCAAAACATTTTTTTTTGTAAAAATCACGGATTGTCGTTAATGTTATTTACGTAATCACCATGTTATCAAGATAGGACAACAATACAGCTCAGCCATGCGGACTCGCCATTATGCTCGCGCTGCGTTGAAGCGTTCAGTTGTCTCACTCGCTCGATTTAATGTTTATTTACAAATGTGTGTGTGTGTGATTTTGTATTTTATTTGATGCTACTGTGAGCGTACCTTATCGTCCCTTTTTGTTTTAATCTAAGGCGTATTATAGAAAGATTCTCAATGATTGATCTAGTCTTAAGCATAGTTAGAAAGGGTTGTCGCTATATATAGCACATAGCGATATCCCTTTCTGTACTCCAGTAAAGATCAATACTTAGTTGTCATTCTGTAATATGGGCCTAAGTTACAGAGAGATGGCAACCTATATTTCTTTATGTAAAATAGTTTGTTTTACTTATGTTGTTTATAATTACTTTGTTTGCCTTCAATGAATTATTGGTTACAGATTTTAGATAAGCTCATTACAAACATTTCAAAGAGACTTGCTTAATAACAAGCTTAGAGACAATTTAGGAACTATTCCTGAGCATGTTGCTTGCAGTAACAATCACAAGATTGAGAGACCTTTTTATGATAAATTTTCTATGTATTAAATATACATAGTAAGATTGACCCCTATCTTAAGTTAACATCACTCCCATAGCCTTTTGAGTAGACTAGGATATGTAATAATTGACTGCTCTGAACTCTGAGACTTCTAATAATCTTGAGGTACTGTTTCATACAAAACAGCATATCAAGGTTGTACTCAAGATCGCTCTCAGAATTGAGAGTGATATATTAATGCAAGCCTAGATCTATATTTAGATTTTTCTTTATGAGTTTTAATGAATCCTGTTTACTTATATAATGTTGTTAATTAATTCATCTTTCACTTCTTGGTTTTTAAAGTTAAAAACTGAGAATTAAATGATTCAAAACATTGTAAAACTAGTTTTTTACGGGTTAATGCACGAAACTTTATTTATTTATTGACGTCAGAATATATCTGACGACGTCAGTAACTTTATTTATTTATTGTACGTCAATAAATAAATAAAGTTTCGTGCATCAACCCGTAAAAAACTAGTTTTATTTAATGAGTGATGTGCGTGAATACCTAAGAAACAAATATCAAAACATTGTATTTTTATTTAAGAATTTAACTGCTGTTTTTTTAGTTTAATATTTTCAACACACACCTATTAGCCTAGCCCAAAGTTAGCACTTTAAGGCTTCTGTTATGGGATACTATGGTAACGGTAGAATACATATACTGTAGGTATATAAATATATTGATATAGAAATACTTATCAAATGCTTGTATTCATCACACAAACATCTGCCCCGACCAAGATTCGAACCTCTCGAGTCAGCGACACCATGAAACCTGGTGTAGGTACAAACCACCCAGCCACAGACGTCATTGAATTGTTATCATCATCAGTAAAATAAAACTTTAGATTGATAAATTACGTTACCAGGGTTAATTTATGTGTGATTAATTAACATTTAAGTAATTAATGTTTAAGTGCTGATAATTATTTCTATAATAATGGAGTTGCAAATACCTATTCTATATAAACACAACAAAACCATAATTTCTTTTATATTTGAATAAAATCTTAGAAATTTATTTTGTGTTACAATGCGAATGTTTCTTATGGTACTCTAACAATTAGGTACTAATATTTGATGCTATGCTCAAATGCCCATTTCATTTGCCAAGAATTTTTAATATCATTTTGTTTTGAATTCAACAATATTGTTGTTTGTATAGCATGGATGTGATTAAATGACACAAAAACCCTTAAATTTTGGTATATTATAAATAAATGCAAAAGTCTATGAAGCAATTTGCATGTTATAATTGTGTGCTATGCTCTTATCAATTTGAGCATATAATATGGGTAGTATTTAACTTCAAATAAAAAAAAATGTTTTGTATAAAAATTAATTCCCAATCCTAACCAAAAATACTTACTGCACAGCAAAATAGTCACCTCAAAATATTGTTGTATTAGTAACAATTTAAGTTCGTGATGCATTGCTATTAATTTAAAACTAAAGCTTTTTTATGAATGTATAATTATCTAATAATAACCACCTCACAACAAATCTATCACAAAAATATAACAGCCTTGTTAAAAAAAATGATATCTCATACAGCAGTTTACCTAAGTGAAACACCATTTTAATTGACATAAGAATCTAATTATTTATTTATTACGACACAATGAGACCAACAATCAACTAAAACATCTGATACAAAAAGTAACATCTATTTTTTGGTAATTAAAGCAGGTCCTCTAGCGGGACGTCCATGTTTCCTTTAATGTCTGATTGGTATATTTTCTGCAGGTGCTGTTTGCAGTAAAATAATTATTTTGATGTAAAAAGTATTTAATTGATGTTAATAAATTTGTTTCTTAGGTTTTCACACACATCACTCATCAAATAAAACTAGTTTTGTATGGGTTAATGCACGAAACTTTATTTATTTATTGCAGTCAGTCAGTCAGTTGTCTGCAGTGTGTGAACATGCTTTAGGGGGACCAAATCATTAAATTAGATTTAATAAATCACAGATCCTTGCAACTGAGCAATGATTCATTCCTAGAATGATACGCAAGGCTATTGAGATTAAAAAATATCCAAATTTCAATAGGGAAGATGGTTGGTATATGCCACCAGCTTGGGAACCCCCTATACAGGAGATAAAATCCCGAACCCGAACACACACTGCAAGACCAACAGACGGGGATCTGTGGTTTATCAAATCTAATGTAATGGTTTGGTCCCCCTAAAGCTTGTTCACACACTGCAGACAACTGACTGACTGACTGCAATAAATAAATAAAGTTTCGTGGATTAACCCGTAAAAAACTAGTTTTATTTGATGTTAATAACTTGATAGGTAATAAGTTATTTGCTGTGCATTTAAAATATCCCTATAAATATTACCTTACTTTTTAAATATACAGTGGTGTCGATTCTAGAGTGATTCTCTAAACTTAAAACTAAATTTAACATCAGTCTCTCCTTTTCATTCTGTATAGAGACTGGCAAGGATGCACTGTTGTCAAATTTAAGTTTAGATTTAGAGAATCATGCCAGAATTGACACCAGTGTGTTTTCAGAGATTTGTTTAGACACATTTGTTTCTGTATGTTTGGATTATCTTAATAGGATATTATAGCTGTAGGAGTTACCAATCAACGTGAAACAACAATTGTTTGGGATAGAAACACTGGTGCACCTCTTCATAATGCCATTGTTTGGTTGGACATGAGAACAACATCAACTATTGAGAAGCTACTGGATACTGTCCCTAACAAAACTAGAAATCAGAATTATTTAAAGGTGAGTTCGTTCTTATGTCATATAAAAAGTTAAACAGGGAAATCATTGAAATTGAGAAATATGGAATGGTGAAAAATGTAAAATTTAATAGAAAATACTTGGGCGCTAGACCTAATTCCATAGCTTCGCAGGAAGGGCATTGGACTGTCAAACTCATGGGAGGTTGAAATAAAAACCCTAATTCACTTTGGGTGTCCTTATATTGTGCTCTTAACATGCAATTAAAGGTTTACTTGAATTTAGAATTTAGACTCCAATTAATAGTTAACTTAAAATTAAAGTGTCCGTACACATGGATTAATATTGTCCAAACTATATATAAACAAATTTTGGAAATCACTTGAAATGGTGGCCAAGAATTGCTCATATTTGCCTCCTATCATGGGCATTTGCTCCGTCAATATTTAAACAATAATTAAAATATTTAAGATGGATTCTGACAACAGGATGACTGGACCCACCCTTAGTGTGTGTACAAATGGCAATAACTGAAATATGCATTTGCCAATAATTGTTTCCCATTTGCTTCCCTAAAACCATACAAACCTTTATCCTGTACCTATCAAGGGGAAAAAAATACGGGTCACTTCGTTTTTTTATGGTCATCTTTATGCCAAATAAAAAAAGTATTTTTAGACCGGTTACATGTTATAAGATTTTTTCAGCTAACTGTCAGCATAGTTGAAACACTTAGGTTTACAAAATTGCTAAACCTTACGATTATGCAATGTATCACTAACTGCATGTAAATCATTTGTTTATCTGAACAAGCTCTTAATTATTGGTGTTAAGGACAGGTTACTGTATGCCCGTTTACTTGTTTTAAACCACAATAATCACACATGCTAGGATTAATAAGTAGATAAAATACACGTGGAAGATAAAACTTGACATTATTTAATACATTTATACCTAGTTGTGTTTATTTAGTTACTAATCTTTTGATAAGTAATAAACTCATTTATCTGGACTTCTTGGTAACAAGGTGTTCTAAATATTTGAGGTTTTGAAAAAAAAAAGATATAACTGAGTATAATGAGTTGTTATTAATGTTTCATCATCAGCCTATTAATTTCCCCACTCCTGGGGCACAGGCCTTCCCTATGGGTGGAATAGGGAGATTGGGCCATGACCCACCACGCAGGCACAGTGCGGCTTGGCGGGTGCTAACGACTGCAGATGCAGCAGGGACCAACGGCTTAACGTGCCTTCCGAAGCACGGAGGAACTCGAGATAGAAGATTTTTGGTCACCCATCCCATGACCGACCACTGCGAAAGTTGCTTAACTTCAATGATCGCAGCCGAACGCGCTAACCACCCGTGCCATCGAGTTCCTCAATGTTTATGAGGTTATTTAATTAATGTCATAATACTTTTCAAATGGTTCAAAAATATTTCCTTTGAGAACTTTTATTGACAAATAGAATTAGATATTTTTGCATGGATTATCTATTGAGTTAACATTTGTCCGTAATATCTTTTGAAATACTATCTTTTTTCATTGCTCATGAATTTTACAGGAACTGGAGATTTAGTAAAAACGGCAATACATAAATCTAATATGTATACTTAATCTATTGTGACAGTGTTTGTAAAAAAAAACCTCGGAAACGGCTTGACCGATTCGTATGAAATTTTGTGTGAATATTCAGTAGGTCTGAGACTACGACGTAAATTAATTTTCATACCCCCTAAGTGATTTTAGACATTTTTTTATGATTTGGCTTTAATATATATATAACCCTAAATTTTCACCTTTCACGAAGTTCGCTGGGTCATCTAGTATTATATAAATTTTATGCTTTCAGCCTTTATGTGGTTTACCCTTGTCACCGTACTTTAGTGCTGTGAAGTTGCGATGGTTGAGTGACAACGTGGATGTCGTCAAAACTGCTATGAAAAAGGGCACTTGCTGCTTTGGAACCGTTGATACTTGGATTATATGGAATTTGACAGGTAAAATCAAATTTATTTAAACATAAGCCTGCACAGACGTGTGATTTGTGACCGCGAACATAAACCGTAAAATAGATCCTTTACAACTGCGTATAGTTTTTTTTAAGTTCTAGCCCTTTATAATTTTTTTCAACACGATGATTTGCAACGCATGTAGTTTTGAAGTAGATTTGAATGGCTTTCTTCCATGTCATCTTTGTAAAAAGAAATATCACAACCAATGTGTAAACATCTAAGCTGATCAATTTGCGGGGCTTACATAACGATATTTGTCATCTTGGATGTGACTGGCCTGTACCAATACCACTAGAAGGAATAAGGAACCGAACAGCAATACGCCTGTGAAATTTACCCAGGTGCCTATCGCGGAGGCTTCAATGGATATGTCGTGTGACAACATCGAGGCTGACGTACCGAAACACGTGAATCTTGGTGAACATATGTCTATGGAGATGGAGAATATTAGCGGGTTGTTCCAGGAAAAACAACTCTTCGCTAACTAAATTTAAAACTGAAACCCTAGGAGGGGAGGCTAGAGTTGGGGGGCTGCGCGCGTCAACGCGCCGTCGGTGCTATACTCCCGCACTTCGAAGCTTGGCTCCATGGGAAGGAGGAAGTCACCTACCGCTTGACTCAGGTACTCACCGGACATGGTTGTTTCGGTGAGTATCTGAGTCGAATAGGGAGGGAGGACACGGCACGATGTCACCACTGCGCATCCGAACTAGACTCGGCCCAGCATACGCTGGCGGATTGTCCCGCTTGGGACTCCGAACGCCGAGTCTTGGTCGGAGAAATCGGGCAGGATCTGTCTCCGCCAGCATTGATTGCGGCAATGCTGGCGGATGAGGGAGGTTGGAAGGCTGCGGTCTCCTTCTGTGAAGCGGTGATGCTCCAGAAGGAGGCCGCCGAGCGGGATCGGGAGAGGGCCGATCCCGCTCGAAGAAGGCGGCGTCGGGTCAGATAATGTCCTGATGTGCCGCTGCGGGTCGCTGGTGAGCACGACAGAGCTCATGGAAGTGACCTGGGAGGGACGACACCTCCGCATGGCCGGGGGGTGTCGTCGTAGGAGGGTGGATGGGGGAGGTTGCGAACACTCCCCCGAGAAGAACTCCCCTGGAGGAAGCAGGGGAACAAAGGCTGCGGGTCCTCAGACGCGATACTCGATCCTGAGGCCCCGTACAATGCATGATGGCGGCCATCGCTGGGGTTTTAGTGGGTAGGCCTCCCCCTTCTGGGGAGGAGAGCCCCACATAACCACCATGTGGTATGCAATTTAATGCATTTCTCCAGCGTATCAAAAAAAAAAAGGAGGGGAGTGTATACGCGTCTTGCTGAGTCTTTTTACAACTTGGAAAGTAAGATCGCATATCTCGAGACTATTTCTCGCTCATGCAATGTCGAGCATTATGCAGTTCTTGAAATTAAAAAATGAAGACGTTTTAACTATTTATAAAAATCTGTGTGAACATGTCAATGCCTCCTTCGATGATGCATCTCTTAAAGTTTGTCGTCGTGTTGCAAAGAGAAACACAACCACGAAACGTCCTCGGAATATACTCATAACACTGGCTTCTACTATTTCACGTGACACACTCATCTCGGCAGTCCATCGTTACAATAAGAAGTACGCTGATGACCCATTTAACTCCGTCAAGGTTTTCGTCACTGGTGATAAATGCAGGATATATATTACAGAACATCTGGTCCCTGAAATGAAGTCACTGTATGCTGAGGTTAGAAAGATCTCACGAGAAACTAATTTTCAGTAAGTGGGTCCGCTTCGGGAAAATATATGTTCGTAAAGATGATTCTGCTAATGTAATATTGATAAAAAATCGAGAATGTTTGAAAAGAATGCGGAAAAATTAAATAATTGATACCTATTTTTTTTTTTTATATTCGGTATAGAACTCATGTGTGCGAACTTAGCGAAATTCTGCTAATGTAATATTGATAAAAAATCGAGAATGTTTGAAAAGAATGCGGAAAAATTAAATAATTGATACCTATTTTTTTTTTTTATATTCGGTATAGAACTCATGTGTGCGAACTTAGCGAACTTTACTCCATTTTGCCCCAGTCTTCTCATTTAAAAATGTCTTCTCTTATTTCTTAAACTTCATGTTAATTATTATACAACGTAATCTGAGAATATTTACTTCCACTTTTGCTAACACTTCGGGCAAGAAATGTTCGCATATCGTGTGCGTTGAGCCCGTGACAAGAGCTCGGCGTACATTATTTTTCACGACTCAGAAACTTGTCCTCAGCGTACAAAACTCCCTTGTCTGCTCAGGCCATTTCATTGATCAATCTATGTTAGTAATAATTGTTACTTAAATGATGTAATACAAAAAAAAAATTGATTAAATAACGGTCCAATGTTATGTGCTGTCTAGTGCATAAGATTGCACTAGAAATTAAAATTATTATATCTTGTCTAACATGATGTTGATATATAAATAAAGTACGTATTATTCATTATGAATTTGGCAGTGCATCAATGATGCCAGAATTAAATGTATATAATTACCGTAAATCCTAATATATAAAATTCTCGTGTCACGGTGTGCGAAATTGAACTACGCGGAAACGGCTCGATCGATTTTCGTAAAATTTTATATGCATATTCAGTGGGTCTGAGAATCGGACAACATCTATTTTACATCTCCCTAAAGGTTAAGGGTGGTCCACCCATATTTTTTTTTGGACATTTTTTTTTGTTTTTATTTTATTATGGCGGTACGAAGTTCGCTGGGACAGCTTTGAGACTGTCAGCCTAAACGTGGCCTAACCCTCAATTATTCATATTCTGATTGGGCGGCTAAGGCCACTTATGAAGTTATGGTTCAGAGAAAATCAATGCATAAAGAACTTTTGCAACGCCATCTATTGACGCCTGGTGAAACAAGAGATAGGCCGATATTGAATTAAATGTTAACACATTTTTGTTTAATTGCAGAAGATGAATCAGAATATGAGGTTTAGGCCACTTTTGCGCTGACTTTCTCAATTGTAAGCCGCTGTTTATGCAGTAAGCAGTATGCCTTTAGGACATTATCCAGAAAAAATAACTGGCTGTCCTCATCTGTCCATTAATAGACTAGTTAGCAAAATGTAAATTCTATATTTTTGCTTTAGCTCTCAGTGTAACATATAGCGCATACACTATTTTTTTAAAAGCGGCACACAAGCATAATATGTTCAGTCTCTAGACGCTCGCGATATGTATTACTCGCGGCGATGCTTACTCTGACCCAATCCCCTTGTAGTGTTTGTTTTTAAACAGAGCGTGACACTGACACACGTAGGACAGCTGTTTTGTCTATGATAGGGAACCGCTTACGTCAGCGTAGCTGTCAAACTTCATTGATTGGGTTGGTAGCCTTGAGGGAAGAGTCGATTTTCCTATTCGACTAAAATATTCGCCTTGAGACTTATAAAAAAAAAAAAAAAAAAAAAGTAATCAGGCGGGGAATCTCTGTGGGGGCGCGTGGATGAATGGATGGAGTTTGACAGTTGTTGAATTTTGAATAGTCTTTCCCAGATCGATTTGAGTCCTCATTATCGGGTGCTGTTTTTAATCGATTTTGAATTTTACTCGAAATTGAATTTCCTCGCTGATTTGGGTAGGTATTCCCTTTTCCTCAGCTTACGGCGAGCGTAGGTATATAGTTTTGAGTTTATTCTTCGGTTCGTCTCGAATGCGGCGGCTGTCTGTTTGACTGTGGCCTTTGCCTTCAGTTGAAGTGGGAAACAAATCATAGACACATGTTTGGGAGTGGACGATCCGTCTATCATCTATGAGCAATTGTCAAAACAACTTTTAAAATTTCACAATCTGTTTGTGGTACAGTTAACTTTTCATCTTTTCTTCTGCCCAAAGTATAATAAACGGCATATTACTGTCGTCGGAGTCGTGAGATAGATCCGAAGAGTTTATATCCCGAAGGATATTGGCGGAAAAAGCGCGGAGTCGCTAACCGAACTGAGTTTCGTAGGTGGACGAACACGAACCTTCGCAAGGCGATTGCAATAATAAGGCGGTAACTTGTGATAGGAAACAAAATACTTACGGATAGTTTCATATTTCGAACGGCTTGTACGTTCCCCTCAAGAAATACTGGAGGACTAAAAAGGAGACTTTTTTCTGTACACGGACCAGAAGGGACGCGGGAGTTTATTTGCCAGCCGCTCTCCGGTTTTATGTAACCCGGCCGTAACAGCAGACAGATTATACACAGCTTAACCTATCATAATCAAGGTATTTCTCTACTAACCCCGGGCGAACGTGGAAAGGAACCACCAGGCGAGGTTGGACCCCGACTTACCCAGTTCCATATATTTACATATATCTATATAACTGGTTATCTCACTGAGAACTAGAATTAACTAAGTTTGTCACCAATATCGATCCAACGAGCCGTAGAACCTCTGAAATCCACTAAATAGCTTATTCAGTCTAGTCTATGTGGTATTTGTGGATAAAATATATTAGTAAGTATTATATTGTAAGTACATGGTAAAGTGTTATGAATGTCTGATATTCATATAATTATAACCTTTCATGACAACTTGTTGGTTTATATACACATTAACTTTGAACTGCTGTATTCAGCTTAGATATTTATAATTATTGAAACATAGTTATTATATAAATAATAAACATAGTTAGACTTGTTGATTTATATAAGCAATAACTTAAAACTACTGAATTCCTATGCTTTGGTATCTAAAGTGGATAAAATATACTTATAACATTATCTTAATTTTTTGGTTTTCTTTTATTGTTCCCCCGGTGCTCTGCCGTGAGTGGAGGGGAATTAACATCACATGTGGCGCCCGAACAAGTGGAAACAAGGCTTTGTAGCGTTTACTTTGCTCTTTTTTTTTGGTCATTGATTGCTCAAAAAAGGTTGATCGATATTGGTGATTTTTTTTTTAATTTTTCTTTTTTCTCTGAATTATTTGGCTTATATCCAAAGATTTGTTTATCT